CCTGCACCTCGGGGGGGTCCTGGCCGGCACTGTTTTGTTGCCCTTCAGTATCCTTTGTGTTAGTTCTTTGTGTAGAGGTCATGAATTTTGGGTGGTGGGAGAAGTAGAAGGGGAAGGCGGGTATGTGCACACTCGACTGTGTATGGAGAGTTAAGGGCACAAGGAAGGGGGGCAGCGGTGAACGTGCAGAGAGCTGTCTCCTCCTCTTCAGAAATAACCGTCCGAGTTTGAATCACTTGGCTGAGGTTGTAGTGACTTGGCGACCAAGGGACGCTTCTGGGCTCTGATGAACTCCTGTTCCTTCTCTCCTAAGGCACTGGGATTCACCCCAGTCCTGACATGGGGACCCTGATCTCCTTCAGTTAGTTCTGTGTTGAACCTGTAAAGACCACCCCTGACATCCGGCAGCCGCCCGCCACGGCTGCTGCTTTTACTTTGTTTGAACTCCCATTCTCTTGTTCATTTCCTCTGGGCACCGAGGAGAAAGTAGGAGACACGGACAGCCTGTCTCCTGCTCAGCAGCCTTGCCACAGACAGGGCGCCTGGCTCGGGAAAGAATGTGTCGTAGCTACGATTGCTTCACTGCAGCAAGGCTCTGCTTTATTTTTATTTTTTAATTTAATTTTTTTTTTTTTTTTTTGCAGTTTTTGGCCAGGGCTGGGTTTGAACCCACCACCTCCGGCATATGGGGCTGGCACCCTACTCCTTTGAGCCACAGGCGCTGTCCTATTTTTTTAATTTTTTGATCTTTTTTCTTTTTTTGAGACAGAGTCTCAGTGTGTCGCCCTCGGTAGGGTGCCATGGCATCATAGCTCACAGCAACTTCAAACTCTTGGGATTAAGCCATTCTCTTGCCTCAGCCTCCCAAGTAGCGGGGACTATAGGCACCCGCCACAACGCCCAGCTAGTTTTAGAGACGGGGTCTTACTCTTGTGCAGGCTGGTCTCAAACCTGTGAGCTCAGGAAGCTACCTGCCACGGCCTCCCAGAGTGCTGGGGTTACAGGTGTGAGCCATGGCACCTGGCCCCTATTTTTATTTATTTATTTATTTTTGAGACAGAGTATCATTGTCTTTGCCCTGGGTAGTGATGTGGGGTCATCACAGCTCATAGTAACCTCAGACTCTTGCACTTGAGCAATCCTCCTGCCTAGGCCTCTGGAGTAGCTGGGACTACAGGTGCCTGTCACCAAGCCCTGATAATTTTTTCTACTTTTAATAGAGAATAGGGTCTTGCTCTTGCTCAGGCTGGTCTTGAACTCCTGAACTAGGCGATCCACCCGCCTTGGCCTCCCAGAGTGCTGGGATTACCCTGCACCCAACCCAGTAAGGCTCTTAACACAAGTCCAAGAACATCCTGGCTTCTTGCAGTGATCTGTCCCTGGTGGTAATGCAGAAAAGTGGCCGAGAAAGAGTAGTGACGGGGTAGTTCCTCTAACGTAATTTCTATTAGCGTCTCTCTCCTCAATAACTTATCCCCAAATAATAACTAAATCAATGTCATGTCAACTGCAAATAAAAGCATCTTTACTAAAAGTAGTTACTCTTACTGTTTGAAAATATACCATCTAAGTGGAAGCCGTGAGTTTACCGTGTGGACACAACATGTGGGTCTAGCCCTCTGGTTCTCTTCCAACAAGATTGCCCGCTTTTCCCGTATAGAAATTCTGCCACTCTTGGCCAAACTGGAAAGAGAAGTTGAACTTAGTTGGGTGACTTTTTAATACTTACTTTATAGCCGTTTTTAGACTGAGAAACTTAATCTGAACATGCAATCAAATTTTGCCTTCAATGAGATTTTAGTAGCATTTTTCGGTTTTGAAGTGCAAAACCATCCCAGGCATAGGAACCATAGCCTTGACTGAAACTGAGCCTTTGTAGGGACTGATAATTGCCATTTGTACCTACCACTGTCTACACACACAGACACACACACACACACACACATATACACACACATATACACACACATACACATACACGCACAGACACACACACAGACACACATACACACACATACACATACAAACACGTACACACACAGACACACATACACACACATACACATACAAACACACACACAGA